AACTGCGGCTTAACTGATCAAAGACGAACGACATTTTCTAGCCTCCTATATGTATATATATATATATATATATATATGTGTGTGTGTATAGCGCTTATTGATACACTTTAATCGATGCCACATACTACATGGAGCTCGTGTGCGCTCACCGTGTGACTCAGTGTGGCCAGAGTTTCTCAGCTGAGAGATTCTGCTGCTGATTGCAGCTCGTAATTACACACACACACACACACACACACACACACACACACACACACACACACACACACACACACACACACACACACTTGTAAAGGAAAAGGAAAACAAAACAGTTTCTGAATGCATAAGTAAATATTTTGTTGGGTTTTTTTTTTAAATATTTTAAATATTTCATTTGTTTTTTTTTTTTGTGTGTTTTTATAAATATAAAATATTAGCATAAATAACTGAGACGGCAGATATTTTTAATGCCATCTCGAAAACAATTTCAAGAAAGAAACGTTTTTTGTTTTGTTTTCCTTTTCTTTTTGGAAAGAATCAGGAATAAAAAAATGCACTTGCCGAAACTTGGCCAAGAGTGTTTCTACGTCAGCCATATAATATAGTCAAACGATTTGAGATTTGATCTGTCAGCTATTTGGGAAGAACTGTGAAGCACGCTCAAGAAATCTTAAAAAAAGTACAAATTTAATATCTAACGATTTGCCTTATAAAATTATATGGCAAACTACCTCGATTTAAGAAGCCTGCAGAGACTCGCAATTGGCGCATTCTCAAGTTATTGAAAAGGTTTTTATGTGACAATTTCCATTTAAGACCAAACATTTCTATGGCGAGTGGCTCGATCTGGCTGTTGCCTATATATATATGTATATATACTGCCTGTAACAGAAGAATGAAAAGAAACAAAGTTTCACGACCGCTTATATTGATCCTTGCTCAAGAGAAAATAATATAACCAGGCTTCCTTGTAGGTAGGAGGATATATTGATATTGTGTTGATGTCTCTAATGCATAGAAGAAGACATCGCTGAGCCCATAAAGAATATATATATTCCAGATCAGCATCAACGGCCAAGTTGATATAGACATATCTGTCTGTCCGTCAGTCCATCCGTCCGTCTGTCTGTTGCTATGCGGAATTGGCTCTCCATGGGAGAGATCGTCCGAAAAGTAGGTTCTCATAGTTCGCACTTATAAGTTTCATTATGCTTATCATATATATATATATATATATATCTTACCCCATCCGGATTTTAACTATTTAAACTATGCTGCTCACATATGAACCAAATCCTATCAAGCTATATAATCCAGCCAAATGCTATGTTATATAGGTGCTCTATAGGTAGAATCAGTCGAGAAATGAGTTTATGGCATAATATTCCGTTTTTCAAGAAACTCAGCATTTATGGGCTTCCCTCCTCTCACATATTCCCAAAGCCTTCAGGCAAATGTCTGCAGGAGCATTAAATCTTCGGCCTGCCGTAGATATCCTTACATTCTGGCGTTTCTTTCCACTTTCGTGTCAAGAAATTTTTGTGAAACTGGCTAAAATTAAAGATTTTTGGAACGTTCTCTTTTCTCGAGATGTTCTGTGTGAGAAACGTGCCTGGCTTATGGCAACGACATGTCGAGATACTGCACAATCGGCCCGCGGGGTCTTACATAACGGTTGCTTAAATATATTTCAATTATTTGTTTATATCTTCTTCTTCTTCTTCTTTTGGACTAAAGCAGCTCGAGCTCACAAGCGATCGCTGGCTTTACGTGAATTTTGCTATCGATTGAAAGACGTGTTCTCTGCTCTGTTTGGCTTTTTGTTATTATTGTTTTTGACTTGTTTTTCTCTCTTTTTGTTGGTATTTGTTTTTGTTTTGAATCGCAATTGTTTGCCCGGCCATAGTTAAATTAATTAGCATTTGAAATCTATACAAATTGTTCAATTGCAATTGTCCGCGTCCTGTCAGCGGAGTTCAAAAAAATTTTATAATTATTGCAGTTGCTGTTGCCAGTCTCTTGTTGACATGATTGTTAGCTCTATTATGAATATCGGGGCAGCGAGTGTGCTCCAGTCGGGCGTGCTCGACTAGCAAATGCCCTTTAGACAGCGTGTGCTTCTTCCTTTCTAAGGCCCATATTAAGGGGCTTGTTGTCCCGTTTTTTCGAAATCTGCAGTGCCTAAATATGCCGCATGAAGGTGTGTATATAAACAGAAACGCTTAGTTCTAACTCTGCAACAAGAGTGTTTTTTTATCCATCTATTCTAAAGTCAAGTTTCGACAGAGTTAAGCGCCATAAGTGCTCGAAAAATGTTTGTGAATATATCTTTAAGCTTTAAGCAAGTGAGTTTTTCAACCAGCAACTAAATTTTTGATTAATTAATTTCAGTATTTCCATAAGATGCAATACTTTTAGTAGATACATATACTAGTAGCACAATAGACCTGGGTTGGCATAGGTCAGATCTTTGCGATGATAGCTTTATGATATTGTGAGCCGAACTGTATCAAGTTTTAGTTTAAAATGACCTTACATGGAGTCTAGATGTCTAGAGAAAGATAGCTTTAAAGCCAGAACCAGTGTTGCCAATCGTCGCTTCCCAAAAGTAGCTAAATTCTATCATCAAGAAGCTAAAAGTAGCTAAATTTGTAACATGCGGTAAGTTGTCGGTGTTGAGATAGATTCCATTTAAAAGCTAAATCTGTTAAAGACGTGAATGTTTTTCGGCTGTGTCTCTCTAAAAATAGCGAAATATTGGATTGACAATAATACGGCTAAAAGTTCATGTGAAGATGCAAAGCAAGCTTAGATCTAGCTCTGAAAATAGCCAAATATAGCTAGACAATAGCTGAATTAGTAATAATAGGAACTTTCGCTTTCGGCTGCCGACCTCTGAAAATAGCCAAATATAGCTAGACAATAGCTGAATAGACAACATTGGCCCAGAACGCACAGTTCTGCACAAATCTATATAGACCACGGATCTGTAAATATATATTATATATTATCGTTTGTGTCTCAATTCGTACTACTTGACTGGTTGCTGCATGCGCTATGGTTGTTGTCCTCGCTGCAGTTGACATTGCTTTGGTTCTGTTTTGAATATTTTTGCTGCTGTGCTTGTTTTTAATTTTAAAAAATATATATAATATATTTGGGGGCGTGTTCTGAATGGACATAAACAAGCTGCCGAATTCAATAGCAAAATATCAAAATTAGAAAACAAGCTGTAAACAATGGCAACAATCGGCGAATGCTCTGCATTTGTATCTGTATCTGCAGCCGTGTGTATCTGTATCTCTCTTTGGCTGTGTATCTTTGTATCTTTTGCTGTGGCGCATAATTCAACTGCGTGCGCCGAAAACTCGTTCGAATCGGTTTTCGTTTGTTTCTCATTTGCCGCAGACGCCCTTTGGTCAATTGTTTATTGTTTTCTTTTGCACGCAACTTTTTTTTCTTTGCTTTGTTTTTCTGCGCAAACATTTCAATTAATTGTTCGTTTAATTGAAAACAATGTGCGAAACGCAAAGAAAACCGCATCGAAATCGAAATCGAAATTGAAACTGAATTTGAAATGGCAAATTGGGAATTAGGTAAACAACAAAAATATGGTTGCTACTTATGCTCCAAGGCGATAAGTAATAAAAGCATGACTAATGATACGCGGCTGGTGAAATGCTAACTTGACAACATCGATCCCCGATCGAGCCTAGTCCCAATGCTGACTCAGCGAGAGAGACAGAGAGAGAGAGAGAGAGAGAGAGAGATGACTAAGATAGAGGAAGTGAGAAAATGTCTACAAAGTTATTGATCATCAGAAGAATTCAGGCGTCCTTTGCTGATCACGTGATCGTGTATGGGAACTACAATTACATGTGAATTCTTTCAAATCGGATTCTGCAAAGTCTCGTGATTATGCTGAGTGCACGATCGCTGTAAGAACTGCAGTTGCTGGCACTCAAAGATCTTTCGCTGATCGCTGATCTCAGATAGATCGCTCCGAACAACAACTATTAGGGATATATATTTTGAACAACAATGTATGAGATATTGCTTGGCTTGTTATTGTAGGAACTCAAAGATTTAAGTGGATCACTGATCGCAGCATGATCGCTCTAAGGACTGGTGTGGGTATATCGTGTTTATGTTAATTGTGAGACACGTTTTGCCTTGTAATTATTGGTTCCCAAAGGTCCTAAACAGATCTCAGATCGTCCTGCTGAGCACATATACCAAACTTTAGCTACCTTTTGGTTCTAGCTATGAGTTGAGCAGATCACCGATCAGTTAACGCTCGTTAAGAATTGCAAATGACAACTATTAAGATTCACTTGGTAAAAGCACACGATCGTTGCGAAGACGCTTGTGATATCCTGCAAGCGATTGCAGGTCTCAAATTTAACTGATCGCTGATCACACGATCGTTGTGAAGCAGAAAATTTCGTTAAATACTTCAGATATGCTCTGAACACTGATCGCACATGATCGTGATTAAATCCTTTTGGGTTTGTTGACTGATCACGCCTAAGATATAGCTGCAAAAGCTAAAAGCAACCAGATCTATAAGATCCTCAGTCCTTGATAGAATACTCGATCACAATTGCTCACAGTCTATATATATTTTGCGATCACTCTAGACAAGTTCTGTTGTTGTGCTGCGCTTACATGAACAAAGTTCAACAAATTGTTGTGTATTTTTTTCGCTTTCGCTTTCGTTTTCACTTTTATCGAATAATTTTTTGCGGCAATTCATTTTGCATAATTAATTAGAATGCATTATGCATTTGCGTACGAGGTTGTCAACTTAAAGTTAAAAAAAAAAAAACAAAATATTTAAAAAAAAAAAACGAATCGAAATAAAATAAAAATTTGCAAATAGTGACTAACAGCTAGACGCGTCGCGTTTATCGAATATTGCTATCGAATGTTAACTGTTTTTTTTTATATAAATTTATACTTTATCCTGTTGAGGGACTTTTGGCTTGTGGAGGGTTTTTTTTTTTGTAGGTACGCACTTACTTCTTGAAGATTTGTCGTTTTCGCAAATTTACGGCTGTTTCTGCCTTCCGGACCTGTTTGGTTACGTAGCACGTGAACGGTACTCAGCGATTTAACGGTATATCGATATCACTTAATGGAGAGCTCTATGCAGCTCCAAAAGCGATTGGACAATGCGTTCAGTCTGGCGCCGGGGCAACGTTTTTATAATCGCCGACCCGTCCCTCCATTGACCAACTGTCCGCTCTCCCGCCTCCCGCCTCCCGCTTTCGTCTGCCTCTTGATCTCTATCGCTGTGTCCGTGTTTGCTCGCCGTCAATGTCTCTTTGTTTTGCTCTCTCTCTCTCTCTGTCTCTCTCTACACCCTCTCTCTCCAATCTACCATCTCACTCTCTCTCTCTCGCTCTTTTTGCCGCTCTTGCCTGTGCTTGTTCTTGCCTCAAAGTTCTGTTGCTGTCGCTATCTCGGCAGCGGGCCGAGCGGCAGCTACTAGAGCTTCGCCACAGCTCGGAGCACATCTCTCGGAGATGACGACGACCACGACAGATGCTTATCACTTGGGGCTTATCTCCCCGGGGCCCAGACTCTTGCCCAGAAAGATCTAGCGCAACGGCAACAAAAAGTGGCAAAAGGCAGAAGAAGAAAACAACAACAATAACAACAACAACAAAATATGTGTGGAAAAAGTCATACGCCTGGGCAAGGGCAGATCTCGGTAGTGGGTGGACGGGTGTTGCCAAGGTGGGTAAGGGGTGTAAGGGGTGTAGGGGGCAGGCGCAACAACAATATCCGGACAGTAATAGCTCGCCATATATTAAATTATAAAATATATATGCCCAAAACTAAATGCACACACACACACACACACACACACACCTATCGAATATATATATACGATATTCGATACATATTTATGCAAATATATCGAAGTGTGCGTGTTTCTGTTTCTGCGTAATTGTCTTGTTCCACAAATTTTCCAATATAAATATATATATATTTTTTTTCTTCTGTTATTTGTGTTTATTTCCCAGTTTTTTGGCTGGTGATTGGGGGTCTTATTGATATTTAATTGGCCGCGAAACTTTCCAAGTTCAATAACATATTTGAGCATCAAAATTATTGCCTTAACATAACTCATCCTATTATGAATATGATTTGACAAATTTAACTGGAATTTTATATTTTAAAAATGTTCAGAATTGTTTTTAAAGTGCGCGCTGATTTTATGAAAGACCTTTGCACTTATAGGGATCTATTCTAAATATGTTCAAAAGTAAAACTTTTCATTCATTGGTCATCAATAAAAAGGATTCTAAATATATTATAGCAAAAAAACTGAAAGCTTCAACAATAACAAAATTAATAAAAATATAATACAAAATAAATGACAATAATAATTTTTTTAATAATAATAAACTTAATAATAATAACAATAATAATAATATTTATAATATAAATATTAAAAAGAATAATAATAATAATAATTTGAATAATAATTGTTATTATTATCATAATAATAATGATAATGATATAAATAATGCACATTCGCTTTCATTCGGAAATTGGAATTTTCTAGAATAAAATCTAGTATTTATCTAGTATTTCTGTGCACATAATATAGAGTTTATGTATATTATTTAATTTTATTTGTTTTGATAAAATTGTTTGTATTGTTTTCAGTTTTAATGCACTTTTTATAACATGCAAATTGATTTATAAACATCATTTGATTTGCAGAACTTAGACAAACTACTGTTACGGGGTGTCCGACTAAGTTCGAAAGAAGGACTTTTCGGAGTAGTTCAATTCTAATGTCAAGTCACTGCCTCGAATTTCTCATTTTAGGTACAAGCTAAGGCATCGCAAAGTACTTTGTCAATGATCAAACTGGCTCAAAAGAGCTCATCCGGAGTAGTTAGTAAGTAGTAGAATTGTGTTTCGGAGTCCCCATACGAAGTTCTTGAATTGGATTGAAAACAAAACATGAAATGTAAATTTCGAACTGGTTTCAGTAAATATTCATAGCGATAACTGCATATAAATAATCGACTCTAAGTAAACAAAATACTGAAGCCAATTTCGGAGTGTTCAGCTATGAATTGTCCTTTGTGAATAGTTCAATGGTTACATTGGTTCGATTCGAAGTATTTAGTTGGGAGTTTAACTGTTTTTCGGAGTCCCAATTTGAATTGGATTGAATACAGAGCATGAAATGTTAATTTCGGAGTAGTTTCATAAAATGTTCATTATGAAAATTGCATAATGCATAATGAAGCAAAGCTGAACAAAAGGCACTCCTTTTTTCGGAGTTGTCTGATAATATTTAAATTGTTCGTCGGAGTTTTCACTCGAAATACTTGATCAGCAATAAGCTCTCATATAATGCAGGGCACTGTCAATTCGAAGTATGTACTCAAACGAATTGCAATTAAATGAAGAAGAGTATTTCGGAGTGGTTGCAGTCATTCGATGCCAAATCGATGCCCAAATCCGAAAACAAAAGCAAACTGTAGAAAAATGCTCAACGAGCTCAGCAAGAACAACAAGAACAATAACAACAACAAGAGCAGAAAAAATTTGAATAGCAAAGAGTTGTTTATGTTTATCCAGTGTCAGCCGTCAACGCCGGGGCAAACATTTCCCGGTTAACTGTCGAGCCGCCTGACAGTCGCTGTCAACCCTCAACCCTCGTGACCGGGGGCATTGTCTACAGTATCTGTAGCTGTTGTGTATCCGTGTCCTTTCGCTGACACGCACAAAGTTACCGAAAAACTCGGTATCTTGGTTTATTTGTATTTATTTGATTTCATATTAAATTTTCCATTTGTTTTTATTTTTTAACAAGTTGTACAATGTTTGCATAGATCAAGATACTGTGAGATTCTTGTACATAGTGGGCAGTATACTTTATACCTTATACTTTATACGATTATTTGGCTCCAGCTTTTGAGGGCTGACGTCAGTCCAATATACACACCATTGTGATCGTATATGTTTTATGACGCTGCGGCTTATATTTTGTTGATGTTGTTTTGTGGCTTGTGCCACTGATGAAATATGGCCCAGACGCTGGCAAAAACGAAACAGCAGCAACAGCAAAACAGAAAGAGATCTGTTTATCTGATCCGCATCAAAATGCTTGTGATGAGATCGGCTAACCACGTGCAGCGCTTCGACATGCGTAGCCAGCTCAAAAGTAGGCAGCGATTACCTGGGCCGCACCCTGAACTCCAACAAAATCGCAAACACGGCCCGATCGATCGGTCAGCTGATCTCGTCGCGGCACGAGCGTGCCAATCAAGCCAATCACAACAATTGATCGGCTACTGATCTTGACCAAAATTGTAATATTTAATTCGCCCAAGATCTGGGGGGATTTACTCAGCATTTCTTATACCCTGAACCCATTCAAAACAAGTTAAATGGGTATAAAGGTTTTGTGCAAACGAATTGAACTGGCAATTGGAGGGTTATCGATATATTCTCGATCAGCATCAATCCTCTGCACTTTCCCAAGTTGAGCTAGGCAACTAGCTGGCTACTTAAAATTTGGAATACAGCTGCTTCTAGTGCACGTAGAGATGGTATTCATTTCATTTATCGATAACTCGCACAAAATCGATAAAAATCTATAAATCTCTACGGGTTTTTTTTATGGGAGCTAGAGCAGTCAAGTTTTGTATTAAGGTGTTGCTAGGGCTTACTCAGATTAAGAATATCTCATTTTTTTGGAAACCTTGTTCGCTCGAAAATATTAAAAACGCTCATTCCTAGTGGTATAGGCATGCGTCTTGGTATAGATACATAATTGCACTTCACTCTGAAGCCCTGAAAATTTCGTAAAAATCGGACAATAAATCCCGAACATAATCAAGAAAGCATAATTCAGGGTATGGGGCTAGCTCAGCCTGGGTTCTGTGTGATTACAGCAGCCGCTCGCAGCTGCACTTAGGGTATCACCTAGTCGGGCACTTGCAACTAGGCCACTTTTATTTGTGCTGTTTCTTTTGTTTGGCCATCATTGTCGAAAACAAAACGAGCAGCAGCTTTAGCAGCAAGAAGAAGGGTCTATCTGATATTTTATGATCTGTCATTTAATGATCATAAGATCATATGATCATTAAAAAAACCCCAAAGCCACTTATAAAACAAATCTGTTTATGCTTATTTGGCTGCACATTGACGCAAAGGCGTCACGTGAACCCAAATGCCGAGTCATTTTTGGCATCGGTAAACAGCGAACCAGAGCTGGAACTGGGATGTTGTTGGACCTCAATCGAATTAAGATTCGTTTCAGCCTATTTTTATTTTTGAAGGTTGGGCGTTTTAAAGAGTCAAGTCAAATGTTCCGTCATTTTGCTATAGAAAAATAGTTGATTAGTATTGAAACTGGAATTGATATAATCATACTCGATTATAATTCTAATTGATTATAAGCAATGAACCTGATGAACAGGGAAAATTGTGAACTGGAACTAAAAAATGAACTAAAAATGCTGTTGCAAGCAACTTCTTTTCGTAGTGAACCAGTTATGTTAACATGATGTTATCGTGAACTGGCACTGGAACTGTAGTTCGTACAGAAATTAGGGCACTGGACCTGGCTTTACGAACCGATGCTACAAATTTCAATTGCACGCTCGATGACAAATTAAGCCAAGGCAATGGCATAGGAAATAGATGGGGTAAAATGGGGAAATAGCCAACTGGAAGTGGAACTGACAAAATGGGGAAACTGGAACTAAAGCAGTTCTTAAGTGAACTCAATCAAACTGAGACTGAGTTATTATTAATCGTCCATGCTCAATATCAATTAAGACAAGGCAAATGTAGATATATACATATGCATATATGTGTATCTGAAAGATACATCTGATGCTCAGTGCAGTGCAGAGCGTGACTGCCAATTTGTTGATTCAATTCGTAATGCTGCTCTTGTTCTCGTTCTGGGTTGGTTTTTGGGCAACAGTCAAACGCTGAGCGCGATGACTAATTCATTGGGGACTTAAGCAGAAATCAATTCCCGATAGCCCCCGCAGCCCGATGAGCCAGCCCCCTTCTGGCTACCTAGCAACCCCCTAAAAGAATGTCGGATGTCGCGCAATGCGGCGCCAACTGGTTAGAACCGACGTCAATCAAATGATGAACCCTCCGGCA